TGTTTTTGCGTTTTCAAAAATGGAAGCTTTCAATTGCTGCGTTTGTAACTTTGTTTGCTTTAATTTGTATTATTATAAGTTAGTCATATATATATACGTATCTCTGTCTCTCTCTGGCTCTGTCCTTGTCTTTGTTTAGTTGGCTTGGCTTTTGGTTATTGACAAATATTTGCATAGTTTGATTTTTCGTGTTGCTTAATGAATTATTTGCACATTTGTTTGCATATTAATTTGACCAAATATTTATCAATATATACATATATTTGTTGTAAATATGTATGTGTGTATATATATATTTTATTTGTGGCTGTAGTTCTGCTTGCACATTTAATAACAATTATTTGCTTTCATTTATGCAAATATATATTTATTTATTAAAAATAGTTCATTGACAACTTGAATGCGAAGCGCTTATATATTTTTTTTTAAATAATTTATATATTTATATATATTATTTTTATATAGTTTTTAAAATCTTACTTTGTTGTTTTGTATATTTTTAGTCAACTCACATCAATGTATTGAAAGCCTTTTTGAATATATTTATTATTGATTAATTATTGTTGATTATATTATGTATATATATATATATATATATATTTTTTTTTATTTTTGGTTAACTTTAAAATATATTAAAATCGTAGTTTTGTTGCTGTTGTTGTTGTTGCTTTTCTTTTTGTATTGTAGATTTCACTTTAAGCAGGAAACAATTTTTTTATTATATTTGTTTATTTCTTTTTTTAGTAACTTTTTTAGAAACTTTTTTTATTATTATTTTTTTTTTTTTTGCTGAGAAATTTTCGCCTGTAAAATGTTGAGCATTTTTTTTAATTGACTCTTCAAGGCTGGCCAATAAATTCGTGTTAGCAAGCCATGAATGCAAATTTGTACAAAAACTTTTGCAACCTCTGTGTGTGTGTGTGTGTGCCACGCCCCCCTTTTCCTTTTTTGTTGCTGTTCTAATCAAACACAAGCCGCAATGCTCATCATTATGTAAATGTTGATTTTTCATAAAATTAATGACTCGACAGCACATTGAGGCAGGACCCAAGACTCAACTCGACTCAAGACTCGACTCCACTCCTCTCAGCTCTTTTCTCTTCTCTTCTCTTCTCTTCACTTTTCCTCTCTTCAGTTCAGTTCTTTTCCTACATTGATGTATTGGCATACGACGGCGCCCTATTGATACCATTGAAACGTGACTGAAATATTCGATTTGATTTTACGATGAGCCCATAAAAATAAGAGAGAAGCCAAAAGAGAAAATGGGAGAGAAATGGCCTAGAAATGGGCGTGCCAAGTACTATAATTAAGCCAATGCCAGCCAAATGGATCGCCGGCATGCGGGGCGTAATGTAATTTTGATGTTTTTCATCCAAGCTGCTGCAACAAATTGAATGGAATGAGCAAATACATATATGTATATACAGAGTATATACAGTTATGTATATGTTGCAAATACATAAGCGATTCTGTATTCATTTATACAGCTGTCTGAAGAAAAGTCGCATATGCTTCAATGCTATGTCCATCCAATCAGAAATTGCGTCTGCTGTTTTTTCTAAAAGTTGTCAATCGAAGTGGTTGGACGTAGCAGAGCGGAGAGTTGCTCTGAGTGTTGGCTGACACTCAGAGAATACCCTGTAATATTTATGGAGCTCTAAATAGTAAATAGATTGAATTTCAGCTTTACTTTCCAGGAGTTCAGGAATAGAATCTCAATAGTTATTATTATTATAATTATTACAGGGTATATATACATAAAATTCACATGCTTTAAGCAACTAAAGACATTATATATCGCATTTATTCTAAAAAAGTATTATGTATGATAGAATACAACATTCTAAGTCTACTTTTCATTATTTTTGTAATTTTTACAGGGTATCTATAAAAGAAATTCACCTGCTTAAATTATTGCTAAGGACTGCAGCTAACTTTCCTGGAATTGATCTCATTATCTATCGAAATTTTCGCCCAATCAACATACCCTACCACCACCCGTACAGGGTATTTCGAGTACATAGATAATATGCTCATCTGCTCATCGCACGTCAAATTACAAGATCCGCCCAAATCTGACAAGATAAGACGTGATTCAGCCAAACGTAGCACTGCCTGCGACACCCGTTGCGATTACAGGGTATTTAGCCAAAGCCGACACTTGTCAACGCGCCACACATGGCAGCACAGCAACGACGCGCCACTAATGCAGCCGAGATGGGAGACTGAGCCAACAAACAGAATTCCATTTGTGGCAGCAATCGAGTTGGGCTCGTAATAAGCCAATCAATTCAGTGTCAGATGAACTGCTTCATTAATTTTGCCACGAGCAGCGAGTGAGGCCGAGGCAGCAGCTAGAAAATATGAAGAAGAGCCAGACAGACAGAGAAACGAACAGGGAGACAGACAGACAGACAGACAGACAGTTAGACAGAACTGAAGTATCCAATAAACGACGCAGGCCACAAAAGTCACGTAAGGCTTCAACAGAGAGTTGAGAGCAACAGCAGGAGCAGGAGGCAGGAGGCAGAGGGCGGGGGCAGAGGACTAAGCCAGCTTAGTCTGAAACAACATTATGAGATGCTTTAGCAGATGGCCGTCGACTTGAGCCGAGGCATAGCTGTGCGTATTATTTATGTAGTACAAAGGGCAGCAGAGTGGGGGGAAGAGAAGAGGCAGAGAAGAGAAGAGCAGTGGAGTGACAGTGGAGACAATAGCTTTGCTCTCAGGTGCGTATTTTAAAAGCAACAACTGAAAAAGGTACGAAAAAAGAAGTCCGCCAAATATTTCAAATGTAGAGGCATTTGTAAAGAAAGAGACAGAGAGAGAGAGAGAGAGAGAGAGCCAGTCAGGCTGAGTCGGGTGGCGCGTAATGGCCGCTCGTTAGTTGGCATTGGGGAGTGGCACAAATTGACCAAGGATAATAGCCCGGCAATAGGCAGGCAAAGCCAAGAAATAAAAATACCGAAACGAAGAAACTGTTATACATATATCAAGTGTGGGCATTGCATGTGTGTGTGTGTGTGTGTGTGTGTGTTGCCTGCTCTGCCTTAACACTAATTGTAAAAGTTTTGGGCCTCATGTCAATTTGCACAGACTACGCAACGTTGTTTACTTCTTTTTTGCTTGATTTGGCTATTTACTTTGGCTCAACTCAACTAAAACTTCTAATTGAATAGAATTTTCGAACACACACGCATGGATATTTATATTTATATGTGTGTGTGTGCGGAAATTGAAACAAGTTGCCTGTCAGCCATGTTTGCCCCATTCGAAAAGCACTTGAATTAGCTAATACTTTGTTATTTGTCTTTTGACAACTTGGCAAGGATTTGATGTGAATGTAGTAAATAATATGCTGATAACACGAAACTAGCGAAACAGTTTTAATTGAATTGCTAAACGAGTGCCAGAGCTGATCTGCCCCAGGCAAGCTTAGCAGCAAGTAAACTCAGGTAAACTTGGAACTATTTATGATTGCTTAGCTTAAAGGTAAATTTATTTTGTTTTGCGACTCTCAATGCTGCTCGGAGACTGACTTTTAATACATATACCAAGTTCTTAGTCTTGGCTCAAATTGTCATTCATATTATGAGATTTGTTTGTTATAGATTTTGTTATTGTTTGGTTTGTCTACAGTGCCAGATAAATTGAATTATATGAAATGAGTATCTCAACAAAAGAAAACAAAAAAAGCATCATCAATCATACTCAGTTAACTAAAATGTTGACTTGCGTAGGGAATAGAAGAAAATAAAAATAAGATAAATTGGTTTTTATTTTTCTCAATTTAATTATATTTTTGTGATTTATTTTACTTTTTTTTATATTTTAGTATTTTTTTTTTTTGGTTTTTATATTTCTTTTAATTTTTTTTTTTTTTTTATTTATTTTGTTATATATTTGTTAAATTTTATTTTTCTATATTACGTTATTTTTTTATTTAATTTTATTTGATTTGATTTTTTTTTTATATTTTTATTTTTGTATTTTTATTTTTTATATTTATATTTTTAATTTTAGTTTTTATATATGCATATGAATGTATGTACATATTTTTAATATTTTATTTTTTAATTTTTTTAATTTTTTTTTTATATATATATTTTTTAATTTTATATTTAATTTTTTTCTATTCTACGTTAATTTCTACGTTTTAATTTTATTTTTAATTTTTTTTTTACTCTACGTTATTTTATATATATTTTTTTATTTTTATTTGATTTTATGTTATTTTTTATATATTTTTTTAATTTGAAAAAATTGTTATTTCAGTTTATATATCTGTATATATTTTTCTTTAATATATACATTTTCTTTGATATATTTTTTTAATTTTTGTGCAGCGCTAAAATGTCCATTTATTTATTTATAAAATATCTATAAATATTTTTAACTATTTAAATTTCTCTATAAATATACTAATTAGTTAATCTGAACTGCGCAAGCTGCATAATACATATGGCATATGGTTTATTAAAGTCAGTCTACGACAGCAGTACTTCCCTCAAAAAGTTTTACAATACTTTCAACGCTAATTCACATCATTTATGTTCAAGTAAAATCTTATCAAATTAACATTTCTTAAACATGTTTGCCCTTACGCTACATATAATAATAAATTTTAATGAAATCTATAAATGTCCAATAACATTTAAAATGCTATCAAATAGAAGAACAAAAACCTATGGAATATATAGCCAAATAAAACTGAGCAATATTTATATTATATTTATAAACATCATGAAACAAAAATTGAAAATGAAAATGAAAATAAAAACGACAGGAAGCCACAAATTGCATTAAGTAATCTCTTTTGTAGAGTAAACAAAAAATTGCCCAGATTAAATAGATATTTCAATATATATATCTGCGCTGCATTGCTCTTTAACTTAATTAACGCGAATTTATATATAAATATACTACATGTGACTTTTTTTAAACGAATTAATGTGGCAATTAAAAAGTCAACCTCACATTTAATTGATTGAGTTAAGGCAGACCAGCAGAGCTTACACGCTTACAAAAAGAGCTTAACACACATGTAGATGCGTGTGTGTGCGTGTGTGTGTGTAAACATGTCACATAATAAAAATTGATGCCATGGCACGCATTTCGTTTGAGCACCTTGACTTTGTGCCTTGGCCACAGTCAATGCACTTTCCACACTTGACAATAATGACAATGAATAAATGATGATGATGACGACGAAGATGATGATGAGTAGGCTAATGATGTTGCTTTGTACTAATTGTTGGCATACTTGTAGCACAAATATATGTTTTCTGAGTGCCGCCGGAGAACGCAAAACAAATTTTCACTTTCATTCACGGCCAATGGCAAAATTTCAATTTCGTTTCGATAAATATTTAAAATTTTGTTGTTTTTTTTGTTGTTGGTTGTGGGCGTCGCGTTGATATACTTTTTATTTGTTCGGCCAAATCATAAACATTAAACACATAAATTCCAAAACATAAATATAAATTAACTTTACACACACACACAGAGAGAGAGAATCGCAAATGTTTTGGCAATTTAACAGCTCATAAAAGCACGTATTGGAAAATCAAAAATTGTATATTTTTGGTGTTTCAAAAATAAAAACGGAAATCAAAATAAATCAAGCTGGAAAACGAACCAATTTGGGGAGGTCGGGAATTGGGGAGAACTCAATCAAAACGAAAAAGAACAACGCGTTCGAATTGTCCTTTATATCACATCACAAATGTTTTGGCATTCAACTATAAACATTGCCAGCTTTTAGTTGTTAATTTTTTATTTCAAAACTTTGCAATTTGCACGTTGTTTGACCACGGTACGTCGCTGTCAACGATCTGTCTTTTGGGTTAGCTGTGTCTCTGTTTTGGTCTCTATGGCGAGTGCGGCCGACGCGTCTGAGTATTGCCAACAAACTGATGCCAAACGGAAGCCGTCCAAACGCTTTTCATGACAAACACTCTCGACCGTGTCGATGCGGCGCACAGCAGCCCAACCAAACAGCGACTGCGACGGCGACGACGACGGCGACAGCGACTGTGGCAACAGCAGCGGCAGCAACGGCAGCAACTGATAAGCAACAGAGAGCTTTTTCAGCCACACGAATTGTGTAAACAGAAAGAGAGTCTACGCTCTCTTAAGAGCAAAACACTTGCAGTTTGCCCAGCTATTAGAAACAGTTTAACGGCCTAGACAATGAAGCCATTTACTAATTATTTATGCCAGTCTGAAGTGGACATAAAACTCTGACTTTTCACTAGAATTTTATGAAGTGCTTGAAATAGGTTGAAGCTAACTTTAGCCTCAGGCAAATTCAACTTTAATTATTAAAGCTTATGGTAAGAACAGTTTTGAAAGTTTATAGGGGTAACAAGTAAAATTATGTGAATCACATGGAGAGGCGTCATATGCAAGCTATTAACTTTTATATATTTGTTTGCTATGCTTTAAATATATATATTTATTAAATATCTGTCTGTATATAATAAAAATCTACTTAAATTAAGCTGAAACACCTAGAATTATATTCACATTTATATTCAGCACGCAAATTCATCTCCGAAATGTTTAAACTTTGCAAAATATTTTTTGTTGTTTTATTACGATATTAATGTCTGCTTTGTTATGTCATTTGGCAGCTATAGCCTTTTTTTAATAGTAGCTATAGATAGCTATAGATATTTAGAAAATCTAGAAAATCTATAATTCCGACAGTCTTGAAAACAAAGTCCATAGAGGATCAGAGAAAATTCATAAATGTTATAAAAACGGAATAAAAAAATATCAAAGGACAGAAATTATATTATATAAGAAGATATAGTTAATGTCTGTTTTTTCTTTTGTTTTGTTTTCTTTTTTTTTTTTTTTGTATTAAAATATTATATTATATTATAACATAATAAAAAGTGTTTATAGTATTAATTAGAGTAATTTACCCAATATTTACAAATTATTTCACTGCAATAATAATAATTTGAATTAACTGTAAAATTCTTATCGTACAATAAAAGTATTTACTCATAGCTTATATCATTCTTATTTCCACTCAAAGTTCGCACAGCATTGAAATGCCTTACCGTTTGACTGTAGCTGACAAAAGCTTTACATCTTTCCATCTCTCCCACTCTCCATCTCGCTCTGTCCGCCGCTCAGACTTTTGCTCACAAACTTTCTCTTCATGCATGCGTGAGCGAGCTTTTGTGCAACGCGCCATTAAACACTTTTGCTCTTTCAATCGCACGCTCCATCACGCTCAGTCTGCTCGCCCTCACAATCGCGCCCTCTCTCTCTCTCTCACTCGCTCTTTTGCTTGTCAATGTGTGGGTTTTGTTTATGCTAGGCCTGTTTGTTTGCCCGGCTACACGCACACACACACGCATATACACGCATATACACCCACACACACTCTTCTGCATGTTGTGCTGTTTATGCATAAAGCGCGATTGAAATCCAACCAAAAACTAAACTTTGCATGGCAGCTGGGAGGGGTTCGAACCTGTAGCTCGACTGGGATTATGTGCGTCAATGCAGCCAGCGTCATTGCCATGGCCAACTGAGTGTGTGTGTGCGTGTCTCTGATGCGTGTCTGTGTCTGTGTGTGCGCGTCTGTTGCCTGTTGCACATTTTGGTAAACATTATTTGCGCTGGCCAAAAGCAAAAGAAGTTCCCAGTCTTAATTGAAAAAGCAGATCAAAGCGAAAATAACAAATTATGTTTATTACATTATATGTAATTAGTTAAGAAGTACAAACTAAAGCGAAATGAAAAGAGAGTGGGAGAGAATGAGACTACAAATTAGCCAGCAGCCATTCAGTTACCATTAGCAACGCCTGTAAGCATACAATGCTTTTTATTTATACACAATTAGCTGGCCCTCGCCTGGCACTGCCTAGCTCTCTCTCTCTCTCCCTCTTTCTCTCTATATCTCTTTCTCTCTCTCTCTCTCATTCTGTCGGTCACATTTCAATGCACATAGCGCAAGTTGACTATGTGACGGCAGCGCTTCAAAGCCATAACTTGAGCATTTCCATTGGAATGCCTTTTGGCATGCCTCTGCTTCTCCTCCGCCTACTTTTACTGCTGCTGCTCCTCTGCTGCTGCTCTGCTTCTTTCTATGCTCGTTCAGCAGTGACAAGAGAGTATATTGGTTCTGTGAGATTTGTTATGTAGATTATATACGGCTAAAATGAGACATTTGAAGAAGATGTCAAATTCTTCAGTTATTTCGAGATTGTGCTCCATATGTCCTTTGAGAGCCTCACTTCCATAGCACATAGAAGACCTATATACCTTTAAATACCATTTATATTGATTGAGGATAGGTGGAGCTATAGATTATGGGAAGTCGGAAGACCAATAGACCTTTAAATATCCTTTATATTCATTGAGAAGAGGTAGAGCTATAGGATATGGGAAGTCGGAAGACCTAAAGACCTTTTAATACCATTTATATTCACTGAGGATAGGATAGAGCTATAGGACATGGGAAGTCGTACAGCTTATAGCTGCTGTAATCCACTCCACAGAGTATTGCTACTTTAGAGAGCGATACATGTAAATATTATAATCCATCCATGAAGCTGTGCCATATCCCATATAATACATATAGACTTGCATTTCTCTCACACCTCAAACGAGCATTATAAATTCGTTTACCTATCAGCTACTTGCGCGTCTCTCTCTCCCCCTCTTTCCCCTCTATCTCATTTTTTTCTTCAGTCAGTCAGTGCCAATGTCATATCAGGCGACTTCCTGTGTCCCTGTGTCTGCCACGCCTCTCAGCACGCTCAATGCCAACCCGCCGCATTGTCAACACTTCATTGCAGCTCTTTCTGCCCTCCGTCCTCTACTCCCCCAGCTGTTCATTCTTTTATTATTTACTTCTGGGTAAACGTTTTTCATTTGCAATCAGACGCTCTCTGTGTGTGTATATTATGTATTTACATCCTCTGACGGGACGTCTGCCAAAGCACGAAGGTCGTTCATTTAGTTGCCGCTAAAAATAACAATCCGACTCTGTCCCTGGCCATGATTGTGCTTCCTGTCGCACGCAAAGGCCAGGGAGCTGACAACAACAACAACAACAACCGTTGAAGGGCGGCATAAGTATTACCTATTATTACAGATTATTTGAAGTTTAATGTGCTCTAATCCCTGCATTTGACTAGATATACATATTCTACGTGGGTTTTCTGTGGGTGTTTTCCTACAGAGTTACCTTTTCGGGGTTTTTTGCATGGGCGGCTAAGCTGTCCTTAAGCTAGGTCAAATTGAATTTTGAATATATTTAAAGGGTAACTATGACAAATATGAATAGTTTATGGAAAACAATTTACTTCTAGCATCAATGAACTGGAATATAAAGTGTAATTCAGTCTAAATTTATTTGTTAAATTTGTTGGGAATGTGAGACAAATTATTCGGGAATACAATAATAATAATATTATTGTATTATTTTATAAAAAATATAAATGATGTATAAAAATAATATATATTAAATATATAAAAACAATTTCCCTTATAAATAATATAAATTAAATATATAAAAACAATTTCCCTTATATATAAAAAAAAATATATATTTATATATCTACATAAATTCCTTAACTAGACTTGAACTAGACTAGAGTAGTCTCTTCTTCTTCTATACATATAAGACAGCTAATTGAGAATAGTTAAGACTACATAAAACTTCTGTAACTATCTATAAAAACTTTATGGGTTATAAAATGTAATCCACATATTTATAGCAACACTCATATGCCATAAACAAACAACAACAAATTCCTCGATATGTAAGAGGATTTTGTTGTGGTCAAAAATATCTTTAAACACTTAATTATTAACGACCTTATATGAATGTCAAAATGGAGTCACACAAGGGCGCGTGTGTTAGTTTTCTGTGCGTGTGCGTGTTTGTGTGTGTGTGTGAAGCACAACAAATAGCCGCAGGCTCAACAAAATTAAGATAATGCCGAATATTGTGCGAAGCTGCAAGTTCACTGGGGACGCAACAACTGCCAAGATACGCAAACGCAGGACCTTCAGGGTCAAATGAATTTGTTTTGCCACAAGAAGAACAGCAGCCGCAGCAGCCGCAGCAGCAACAACAATGTGACAAATAAAAACAAATATAAATACGATTTTGTATGTGTGTGTGCCTGTTTTTTCTTGTCTTTGGGGTAGTATAGTTTATGAGTTTGCCGACAGTGTGCACAGGATAACGACTGGACCGAAAATATGCGAGCGAGCAGCCATCCAAAATGCCGGAGAAAGAATGGCGTCCTTCCGTTCCAGTTGCTGTTGTTGTTGTTGTTGTTGTTGTTGTTGTTGTTGTTGTCCTGTCATTGACAAGCCAAAAGCGATGGCAAACAAAGGCAACGCCGAATAACAACAGATAGACAGCAACAGACCACAGGCAACAACAACAAGGACAACAGCAAAAAGGATGACCGCGGGCTCAAAAATTCCAAGGCAAATGAAAAATAAATACCAGAAAGATACAAAACAACGACAAAAACGACAGCAAATGGCAGCAATGCAATTGAAAATTTTGCGGTAAAAAAAAACCAACAACAGCAACAACAAAGAATGCACGCAGCGTGGCAAATACAAAAAGAAAGAGACAGAAAGAGAGCAAGAATTCAACAAACCGCAAATAATAAAAGAATAAAAGATAAAAAAAAAAATAAAATAATACCGTTGCTTACATAATCACAGAAAAAACAGGCGGCAAGACGATTGGCTGCTGCAACGGGCAGCGGCGGTGCGAGAGAGAGAGCGCGCCCAGCACGTGTTTGTCTCACAGGCAACCTAACTGTATAAGTATATGTGTGTGCATGTGTGTCTGTGTGAGCAGCCTGCGCCTTGAAGCTGAACTTGTGCTATTCAATGTTTTTACTTGAACTTGAACATAAGCGCGTGCTAGCATGCTCACTCGCTCACTCACACGCCGTCCACACGCTCCAGCTCACTCACCCACACACACACACGTTCGCTCGCTCTCTTTGTATTTTGCACATACGACGCGTGGCACGTGCTAAAAGCTTTTGTGCTTTTCGCGCGCTCTCTTCTGCTGGCGGCTCTCTCTCTTAACAACATTTGCTTTACTTTCTTTGCTTTTTTGATGGGCGTCATTAAAAATGCGAGTGACGCAAGTGATAAAAAATTAATGCAAAGAGAGCGCAATAACAACAACAATAACAACAGCAACACCGACGACAACAGGCAGCAGCCAAAAATCTATTTAGCATCTTGATGATAATATTTTTGGGGCCATAAGTTGAGCGTTTTTTCCATGAAGCTAACAGGTTGAATGGCTTGCCCCTAAAAGGCGACAGCACGAAAGTAGATAACAAATAAAACTTTGTCCAAAATGGGTGGCAAATGGTGCAATCTGAAATGGGTGTCTAGACGAAATTGATGGACTAGCCGAATACCCTGTAGGTGAAAATTGGGTAACTAAAATTGTAGTAGAAGAGATAAATCTTCAAATATTTTTAGAATTATATATAGATATGTGGGTTAATAGGAGACTTATTGGGGAGTGTTTGATAAACTTGAAAATGTAGTGTACTTAAATCTTGAGCTATTTGAGATTAATTTGAAATTTAAATAGAGAATAGATATATAAAATATGATATGTACATATATATGGTATATACATCTTCAGGAACCCTATTTCTCTCGCATACCTTAACCTTTCAAGTCCTACAGTAAGGCCCAATTTACTGCCACTTCTAGATTTCATATACAACCTTAGCCTAGTTTTTGTGACAGACCAAAAAGAAAAAAAAAAACAATATGTTCCCAATTTTAAGTAGTTC